AAGGGCAAAAAGTAATGTCAGAATGAGGTGGACCTAAGATGAAGCTGCCAGCTGATAGGAAAAAGAAATTAATATTCCTTTATGGATTTTTTCCCTTTGTATCCTCTATGGATTTGGCTTTTGGAGATTCATGTCTTAGCTGCCCATGTCTTTACTGATATACCTGCTTTTAAAAAGCACAGAATTTAAGTAAAATGATATTTCTCTTCAGGGGTACAACAACCACAAAGTTTGAGAGGAATAGAACTGTGGGGGTTAATTTGGACTCTTTCATTTCGGTGTTCAAGGTCCCTCTCCCCCACTGCCCACCACCTGCCCAGCATTTCCACGTGCTAAATTCCACATGGATTACAAAGAATCTGTATTAGTGCAAAATTGTTCAGAGTGCATTTGATGTAGGGATAACTTGAGACAAAACCCCTCCAAACAAACAAACAAGCCCACAAAACCAAAAAAAGGTACAAAAAAGAAAGCAGAAATTGGAACTAAAATATATGATATAAAGCAAATAAAACCCACTAAGAGCAGCACTTCTGGTAGTGATATCTAATTAGACTATCTTTTTATTCCTTCCCTTATTTTTGACACTGTGGGTGTCAGTAGCTGGAGGTACAGCCAAACATCCAACACTTTATTTTCTGCTTTGTTTTATATGTGGCAATTGGACAGACAGTCCCAAAGGGTTCCTTTTTATTATGGATTATTCCCAGTGAACACCCTGGCTGTAAGCACTTTGTGACAGCAAGGTTATTGTAAAATGGCTTTATTTCCCGTTTGAAGTAGAACTGTAATACTGAGAATAACTTTTATGAGGCCTTGTGGGAATCTTGTTCTTTATGAAACTCAGCGATTATGTTCAGAGGCTGGAATAAATGTTCCTATGAACTTTTTAAAAATAAAAGAAAGAGGGGAAAGGAAGGAGAGCATTTGCAGCTCTAAGGGTCAGGTATCCTATTAGATGTAGTTTATCAGATTCCCGGGCCCAACTAAAGTAAGGTCAGACATGGCCAGGGACTGCTCTGAAGAGCAGGCAGGCATCCTGAGGGCAGGCAGTATTTTCATCAGTCCTCCCAGGCAAAGTGAAGGGGTTTGAAAGGGTCTATCCAGCCTGTTGAATCAGCAAATTATGGGACTGGTGCCACAGCCAGGGGTTCAGTCACCTGGAACGTGTGACCACGCTTTCATGCTTGTGAAGACAAGAAGTTGAAATCCTAAGGAAGTCTGCTTCTTCTGAATCTGGGATGAAGTAGCTTCAGGAAGATCTGTGGTCCCGAGTATTCTGAATGTGTGAGGATATCCAGATTCTCAGCTGGGAGCAGTCATGAACTGGGGTTAAACATGGTCCTTCCATATATTATCCAACCTTTCCCTCAAATCCACCCAGTTCCACCCAGAACTGAATACTCTTTCAGTGTTCTGTTTCCCTCTTGTCTTACACACCTGAGAGCTGAAAAAAGTATTTTTGACAATAATGGAGAATTGTCTCCCATGGTAGGAGAAATAAATTTGAATTGGAGTCATTACTGCCCTCCCATCCCCGTGGCTCACCAGAAGTAGAATCCAAGTCAAATATTTCAGAAAAGAAACACATGGGTTATGTAACAGCAATGCAAGAAGAGCCTTTGAGAGGTGTGCAGGGAGGGTACAGCAATTTCACTGTCATGCAGCTCATCAGCATCTGCCTGATGAATAGAATTTTATCCTTGTAGCCCCTCTCCATTCTGTGTGAATGCATGGAAGCCCTCAGGAAGTGAAGGACAGGGATGAAAAGAAATCAAACATCTCAAACCGAAGTTTTGAGATTTTCCCTAGTGTTCACAAGGATTAATTGAAATACAGTGACATAAAAACCAATGTGAGACCCTGAAAAGTACCTTTGGAAAAATAAATACAGAACTGTTTATTTACAGGAGAAAAGACTGTTGCTTGATTATACAACACACGTAAAAGAGTACAAGGAAAGAGGTGGGAGATCAAAGGCCACCTGTACTGAAAATATTTTAAACTTATTGTTACTCTCACCTATTTTCTGGCACTGGAGAAAAAGAAAATATTTGCTGAACTGAGGAAAATCACTGAGTTCAATGCTGAATGAATGTGCTGACGAGTCACACAGTTTCAGGGCTGCAAAGGCAGGGTGGTTAAACACCCCATGGAGCATATTTTCAGAATACACAGCTATACATAGATTTGCATTTTCATGGGAGATTTTAAAAAGGAAGGAAGGCAGACAGAAGAGAGAATGTTAATACTATCGACCAGAAAATTTAACAAGTTTTATTTTTCGTTTAGTTTTTAAGTGAAGAATTTATTTGTTTCTTTTACAATATAATACAAACAGCACAGTAACATCTATCTTTGAAGGGTACTGACAGTAGTTAGAGTTGGGCCAGTCCACCAATAATTCATTTATCTGCTGTTAATCAGTCATGAAGTCTCTCAAACCTGTTTTTCTCCATGCAGAAATTCTGATTTACAAATTTTTTCATGAGAAAAGTAAGTTGTCCCTCGTCTTATTTTAAAGAGTCAGATAGCAAAGGAGTCACCAGCTTGAGAGTGCAGATAGAAATGCAGTTTGTGTGTTGCCCATGCTGGTGAATGTTGTTACACTAATTTTTCCAAGACTGCTTCTCCCCTCTCACCCAGAGCACTTTCCCTGGCTGCAGCTTTGGTTATATCCCCATTGGAGTCAATGTATTTTAGTGTGACACTGAAATTTAAGCATCTGCTTAAAAGTCTGAAGATCAATGTGTTTCAAGCCATCAATTCAGAGAGAGTGAAACCCTTAAATCAGAGAAAATTCCTTTGTCAGCTTGTTCACTGGATGTAAGACCAAGAATATGGATTTCATGAGTTATTTGCAGCATGTGCTGCTAAGCATCTGGTGTTTGTGCCATGCATTAGTTGTGTAAGAGCAGCTCTCATCTGGAAGTTGCTGTGGCATGAGATTTTGGAAGGGAAAATGTGCTTTACATTGTATTAATTGACACATAAGAGAGGGAACTTTGGCTATGAAGCTTTGCGAGAGAGACACATACAAGTCTAATCCCATAGATTTCTTTACTGCTGGAACAAGGCAAAACTGTTCTTCACATCAGCTGCTGCAGGCCTTAGGTGATGCATCACTGGTTATCCTCTGCATCCTCATATTTATGAGCTGATGAGACCCTAATTCATTGAGTCCTCAAGAGAGGGAGCCAGTGGTGCAGAAAGTGACTAAATTCTGCTGCTTTCTGACAGCACCAATCTCATTAATCTCTTCTGTTGTTGGAGGAAGTGAAAAGAAGCAGAGAAACAGTGAAGGAAGACCATAAACTATAAATTATTCTTATGCTAGAAGTAAAATGTTGGGTGTTCTAAAATATGTGGCATGTGTTTTGCACTTTTTCTAACAAATGTGGAAGTTTGCAGTGATGTATCTGTTTTCTTAATAGGACTTTCACTTTGCAAGAATGCTTCAGTCATATGCGTGTATTTCCTGAAACTCTAAGTCAGTGTATGAGACAGATTTCGGGTTCATGCTGTTTTAAAGGTAGCCCATGAGACAGGTGAGTTTCTGTGGATTTCTATAGAGCCTCTGAAGAGAATCTTCCATTACTTTTGTTCATTGCTCATATTTTTCTCTCTATTATGCCTGTTTCTTTGTACATTTTTATAAAGCTTATTTTTAAATGTAAATGCTCTTGATATTTTTTTGTAATAGGGAAGTACAGAATTCTACACAATGATGCATTTTTCCTGTATGTATCTCCCAGTATATTTGGAAATACAAGTGAGCTTGGTATTCAAGGAATGAACATGAACTTGGTCTCAATAACAACCACACAGCTCTGTTCTGCAATGCTTAAACCTTTCCTGAAAACTCTGTCTCGATTCTCTTTGTTTTTTTTGAATTCTTTAGGGCAACAAATATTTGTAGAAACTACCATTCCAATTGAAGCTAATATATAGTGAAATTACTCCCCCTGCTTAGAGTGGATATGAGATGTACATCTATAAGTTATGTTGAAATCACATGAAGAGAAATTTTTGGTATTAGTGGGAATGTTGTTGGCCTTTGACCTCAATTTTGGGTTTGGAAATCACTTCCCTGTGAAGCATTGCAATTATTGCTGTACTTTGGGATTTCATTGAAACACTTTTAACAGCAGTAATTTTATCAGAAGGCTAAAATGTGTGCTTCATTAGAAATTTAATCCAGAGATCATGGCAGTTTATGTTAAAAATGTGTTTTAATAATCTCTTCACCACAACAAGGAGTTGTGGTGAAGAGATTTCATATGCTGTCACTAGCTAAAATAGCCTTTTTTCTTTCATATGCTGTCACTAGCTAAAACAGCCTTTTTCCCACTCAGTTTTAGCTGCTGTGTGATATAAATTTGTTGCTCATTTCCATTAGGAGCAAACATAATATTTTGGCAAACTATTCTTACAATTGAAACAATTTTTTTTAATCAGTTGGCGCATTTGATTTGCCAAAGGTTGTGTGCTTAGAATGACTTTACATTTTAATTAGAGCTGCAGCAATCTGTTAGCTAACTCTGAACTCTGAATGAACATGAGTCTCTAGGCATGTTTGGGAAAAGCTCATGAATTCGCTTAATGAGCTGTCGGAAAGGTTCCATAAATAGTGTCAAAAAACTTGTTGAAGGACCCTCCAGATGTATTCAAGAAGCTTGAATGAGCAAGGGCTAATACAAAATGAGTGCCATTGGGCTAAATATTTCTGGAAAGGTCTTTTGCTCCTGATATAGAGAGAATTAAAGGTCATGCTTGAACCTTTGCTTTGGAGGGGGTGTTTTGGAACATGGGTTGTCAAACATAGCTATTAATAGCTTCGCTGTTGTTTCTGGGAAGGACAATGTGATCATCTCCTTCTTTGCCACAATACAAGGGTAGAAAGGGCCTTTCTTTCTCTAGTAAGCACAGCACAGGGATTTGAAAAACCCAGGCTTCTTTGGGGGGTTCTTTGAAACAGAAAAAAACACTGCAAAAAATAGAATTGTGATAATTTTTTAATGGATCAGGAAGTTAGTGGAAACCTAATGCCCTCAGCATTTCCTTGGTGTCACAAGTAGCATTTTGTAAGAGGAAGAATATTTTTGACAGTTTCTGCTCTAAAGGAACTGAGAGGCTCAGGGTGATGATCTCCTCACAGGTCACTGGCCTACAATTCACCTGGGAATTCACGGAGAGCCAATAAATCCTCTGCACTCTTCGCAGCACCAGGGTTTTGGCACAGCATCCTTTTGGAGCTTACAAGGTATGTGGATGTCACTGTACAGGATATTCTCAGGAAGATGTGGCAGAGGAATCTGCTGATGGTAACAGCCCTGTAAATCATTTATAACAAAAACCATTTGACCAGATAATACCTCAAGTTTAAAAAGTAGGCTTCTGTTCTCTAACCATATGTCAGTAGCCTTACTCTTGTAACTGATAGAAATATTCCAAGTTTGTAAGAAGAAACATATGTATAAATATTTAAAAGTGAAAGAGCAAGCACAGGAGTATTTACTTCTGATGAGGCAATGAATAAAATATCAGCTTCTTACAAGGCAAGATAGAGGGCCCAATGAGATTCCAGGAAACCCCAAGTCATATTAAAGCTACCAGATTCTAAGAAAAATTTTAATTTTTTAATGTTTTATTGATGGTTGAATCTTGGTCTGCAACAGAATGAACAGTTAATTAGATATTTTTTATATGAGGAATAAAAGATGGTTTATAAAACTACCTCATTTAGTTCTTGTCTTACTAGCTAGAAATGCAAATTTTCCAAGGCAAAATCTTAGTTTTACTTCTCATTTGCAACATAGGACACTGTCAAAATTAATTTAAAAATAGCCTGTCCATGTTATAGGCAGTTCTGAAACCATTGTACTTAATGCTGAAAGGGAACACTGGATTTTGCAAAATCTTTTGCATTGTGTGCATTGCCATCATAGTTTCCTTAAATCACACATATACATTTTCCTTCTAACTAATTTTCAATTTCAAAAAACCACAAAAAACTGAGGGGGCAACAACTGGATGACTCAAGCATTCTGAAAATTAAAACTTCTCGCTGGGAATTACTGGACTAAGTTCCCCTTTTCCTTACAGAACTGATGTAGAGACTGTGGTAACAACATCTTCAAATTTTTGGCAAGTCTCAGGTAATCTGCATCCAAATTGTAATAAGTAAATGAGTAAGTGCTGAAGCTATACTATGAGCTACATGTATAAAAAATATCTGTTTATTTTCCAAATGTAAAGAGCTCAATAACTCTTAATGAGAATTGATTCACAGTAAAAGTGGGCTTTTTTTTCTTCACTCTTCTTAAATGCAAAGGCCAGATTTTTGTTTTAGATTTAGCTGGCACAGTTTTCTCCTGTGTTGGTAGCATGTGTACTGAAAAGAAGACATTTTTACCTGATTTTTTTATCACTGAAAGAAATAAAATTCACCACTAAGAAATGCATGGGGCATTGGTGGAACTTGTATGTCAAAATGTTACAGGTCACTGTCTGTGTCTGCTGTGTGAGAAGGTTCCTAAAAGGCAGGTTTCAGAAGTGTCACAAATATAATCTAAATATAAAGGATAAACAATATTTGTTAGCTGTTATCAGACATTCCATGACCTGCCTGTCCTTTTTGAAGAAGTGATTAGCACTCCTCCCTGGGAGTACATTGTTAGAATTGGTTTTTTTTTCATTTTTAAAGGTACCTAACAATAACATTCTATGCTCTAAAAAGTCTGATGAGAGCCTCTAGCCTATAATTGCAGTTTGTGCATGTGCAGGCCAGAAAGGTTTCCTCTTTAATGCAAATGGAAATCTAGTCTAGGCAGTCAGGTGTATTAGCCTCCCACAAATCATACTGATCAATGCTGTATATATACAAGTAGTTTCTGTTTTGCTTTGTTACTATTTCCAGGAAGATGTAAGGATTTCTTTTTTCTTTGATTCATCACTGTCATTTAGATCAATGTGATGAATTACTTTAATTTCACTAAGTGTATGTATTTGGACCTGTTGCAGAACACCAGAATACATAACTGTATTATTTTTAAAAACATCATCTCTACCACTGGAAAATTTTGCTGCCCTGCCTTCCCCATTAGGGAAATCAATTTCAGAGTTCTCTTTGATTCTCTGTTTACAATACCCACACATGCCTGGGTACAAAGTGGTAGGATGAAAATATTGAATTCCAGTATAGAGCTGGGGATTTTGAGTGCAATTATTTACTAGCAAGTGCAAAATACTGCATGCAGGACAATTGAGTGACAGTCCCTTGGCCTCTTGGTATCCTTTGGATATCTGCTGTGTCCATAATGTTTCTAAAGTCTTTGCTGATTTTGTTAATAAAGGTTTCTCAGCACCTGTGACATGGCACTGATTAATCTTTGTCTACTTTCATATTTTGCACAGGAAAAATGATCGTCCACTGGCTTTAACAGCCTGACCCCTCAGATATGAAACCCAAATTAAAGTACCTTGCATGGGTCACCTGGTGCAGCTTCAGTGCCCACAGCAGGTACAGAGACCCTACACTCAGAAATATCTCTTTTCACTGGGATATCCAAAACACAATTTTAAAGAGTACTTAAAGACAAAGGAGCAATAAATAGGGAACAAAATATTAATAGTAAAAGAAATTTAAGGGGTACTTGGCAATGTTTCAACTATGATGTGGTTTTAAGGAAAATAAAGCCTCTTATTCCTCTCTTCTCCATTTCTTTACCCTAAGTGGTGAGATATTCTCCTTGTTAAGGAATATCATTAAAAATGTGTGGAAAGGGGGTGGTGGTTTTTTGCTTGTTAATATAACTGTGTTATAAGGTGATATAAAACTGAAAACTGACCGCTCAGCATGGGAGCACCCGTGCTGCATCTCACCAAAGATTTAGCTGGATTTAGTGTCCTGTCTCTGGTACAGCAGTCAATAGAAGGAATGTCAGGTAAAAGAAAGGAAAACACTAACCCAAAATTATTTGGGTACCAGAGCTCCATGCCTTAAATTCTGGCATATCTGCCTATGGCTTTAACAGGCTAAAGATTAGGGTTTAAGGAGGTGATGTTTAGATTTCATTGACTGTTTCAGGTGTTCATCTGAGAGGGTGTTGTGATAACCTTCATGGATGGATGAACACATCTGGTAGCTGCTCCTAAGGATCCTAATGGCTTAAATGAGTGGGAACTAATAAAACAATCCAGACTTCAAACAGCCTTCTCCAAAATTCCCGACATTCAGCTGTAACCATTGTTTACCCATTTTAGGAAATTAGAGGGTATAATCTATGCTTCATTATGTTGTTGCTGCAGTTTAAAAACAGAGCAAATTAAGGTAATGAAGATCTTATCTCACTAACTGAATTGTACTGAAAGCTTCTTTGAGAAAGAAAACTTTCTTGACAGAGTTGATCATCTTGAAAACAGATAAAGAGTTTGACCATTACTATCAGTTATAATGTCTTTAATATATTTTTTTATGGTTTGTTGATTTATGTTATATCACAACATCTGGTGTTACTATGTCCATTTTTTTACTTAAATTTCTTTGCACTATATTCCCATTAAGTTGTTAGTTACTGTATTATTTTGCATAACTTTTAAAACTTTATTTCCCAGGTATCATTAAATTCTCTGGCTTTCCTCAGGCTAATAAGAGACTCAGTCAGAACTGTCACATTTGAGTTTAATAAGCACTAGGGGATGTTTTTCTTCTCTGAGTTTATCTAGCCACTTTTTGAACTTAGGTAAAGTGTTGCTATCTGCACCAATCTTGAGGCAATTAATAATATTTAACTACAGCAGGTGTGATTGTTCTGCCACTCCTCTACTTTAAACCTTCCATCTCACATTATAACTTATGAAGACATCTATCACACCTCTGCAGATATTTCTTTTAGATGCTAGATAGTACTAACCTGTTTTCCCTTTCCAGCACTTTGCTTGCAGGCAATTTGCTGGTCCATGCACAAATATAACAAGGATTTGTTTGTTTGTTTGTTTGATTTTTAAAGTCCTTTCCATAAATTGGGGCTTTGAGCACTACTGGGTATTTTTGGACTTTCAGCTATTTCCTCTTTCATGAGTCTTTCACTGCCTTTGTGCAGTTACGGCTCTCGTGCCTTTCAGTGCATTGCTGCTTTTTTTTTTTTTTCTTTTAATATTTATCACCATGCATGTTTTCCTGCAGTTTTGTCACCTGATTGCTCAGTATTTTGAGGTCCTCTTGCAGTTTTTTTTTAGTCAACTCTCCTTTTTTAGCACTCTGACATACTTCAGTATCATCAGTGGAAACTCTTGCACCTTTATTTACATGTATTTCTGCATTTTTGATGCCTTTTCCATGTCAAATACATCTTTGTTTAAACAGTAGTAACTTTTAAACCTTAGAAAACAAACATCAGCACTCGAGTTTCTGCAACAAAACCAGTCCTGTCAAGGCCAAACCCCTCTCTTGTTCAAGTGTATAAATCATGGTTACAGAATGTTGGACAACCTTTTCTGAGGATTCTATCAAGTTTTTAGCCTCATATTTTCAAGACTTCCAGCCCTCACTCAGTTCAGTAAGTACACAATGAAAAAATGTCAAGCATTTATAAATGTAGTGCTGTTTGTTGCCAAGTTTTAACTGCTGCTGAGCTTGGACAATAATTACTGCTTGGTGAGAGTGGGAACACTGCAGTCTGAGAGCTGGAGGAGGCTGAGCTCTTTGCCTCCAACAAAGCTTTGCTGATTATTTCTCTTAAATGTTCTTTGTGTCTGTTACTGTGAAGTTAACAAATAACTTCAAAGTTTCTTGATTTCTGCTTGATAGTTCAAGCAAATGTAGTTAAATAGCTCCCAGATAAGTGGTGCTGACTACCTAAATGGAGCACTTGAACTGCCATCACTGAGGAATTTTATTTCATTCTTCGCTGACAAGTCCAGCAAATTTTATTTGGCAGTATTTACAGTACACAATATGTGAGCAACGTGTGCTGTGCTTATAAGCACCACATGATATGAAGTATTACCCACCATTAGAGCCTCCATCAGTCACATCTGATATGGCATAAATCAAATAGAATAAATTCCCATTTTTAGAATAAGAATTGTTTTGGCAAGAGCACCGTGACACAAATATTGTGTTGGAAAATAATTAGAAATAGAGCAAGTATCTGAAATGACACACATAAAATTGCAAATAAAACTGACAATAAATGTCAATGTAACAGTGCGCAGCCTATGTTCCTGCAGAAACCCTGACATGACTTACAGTGAAGAAAATATAACTTAATAAATATATGTAGTGGAGTACAAACAAACCCACCAAAATTTAGAGCCAATTTGGCTGATGGCTCTAAGTTAATGTTTCTTATTATAAGTGTGTCATGCACAAGTACCAATCTTCTCTTGGTAGTGTGGGGATTCTCATGAATAAGTTAAACAACTTTCTGGATTCTAGACTTATCAGATAGCACCCTGTAGGTTTTAGCTGCACTTAATGTATCAGATTGTGATATTTTTGGGATTCACTTTTTCAGTAGCTTCTCCAGTTAAGAAAGGACAACTATTGCTTATGCAAATCAGAGTAAAATGTGTTCTCAGAGAACTATAAATGTTGAATCTTGTAGACCATGTTATGTGAGCAAAAAAATCTTGTCAGTGTCTATGAGATATGAATGTCCATATAACTACAAAATTTAGCTACCTAGCTGAATTTTTCTTTTGCCTTTCATGGATAAAAAGTAATGGCTTTTTTCAGATAGAGGAAAATTTTACCTTTTTTCTTGCCAGTGCAGGTAGACATTCTTTATCTATAGACAACTACAAGTTAAAGTATTTCAAAATGAAGATGTAAATTTTCCTCACCTTTGTTTTCTATGGAACTAGCTGATATTTAATCCTCATAAATCTTCCTCCATCACCATCTGGATCATGTCAATGCACTTCCATGTGAGTTACTGGTATTCCTGTACTTTTCTAAAGGCAGGGTCTTACTGTAATATTTGATCAAAGAGGAAATGACACCATTGTTGAACAGTTTTCAGCTGTTTGAGGACTGAAAACAGAAGTTCAGTACACTACAAATACACTTTGCAAAACTTCATGAACCAGCTTAATTTTGTTGGAGTGCTTTTGTATAGAAGGGTTTTGGAGAAGGATTTTTTACAAATGTAAAAGGGTACAGCCACCACTGTAATCAGGCTGTAAGAAGAGTTCTCCTGTACAGATGAATACTTTTTGTGTATAAGACTAGACTTCAAATAACCTTGGTATGTTTAAAGTGAATTAAAATAATGTGGAAGCCATTTTCTGTGAGAAACAAAACTCACCATCCCAGTTCCCTGATCTCAGTTTGCAAGACATGCTTGGTACTCCCATATTTTTTTGGATATTAATTAAAAAGTAGAAAGTGTGGAAGCACTAACAGCTGGCTTTTATTATTGCAGTACATTTATTTACATGGAAGTCAAAATCAAACAAAAATTTTTGTAATGGAAATGAGATTTAATGCCATACAAATGTTGGTGTAATTTAAAAAGAGGAAAATATGAAGTGAAAATGTGCTTTGATGATAGCATTTAAATAAACTAAAAACATTTGAAAATTAGTGTTATTTTATGTGCTAAAGTATTTTCATTACCAATTACAAAATCCAACTTTTTTTGACATCTAAATATTACTGGTAGCTAATACAGACTCATTCATGAGTGTTTTAAAAAACTTGTGAAATTCCAATACATCACAACATGCTTAATTAAAGGAAAACAGCCTCCCTCAAAAAAAAACCCCAGTGCCTGGAATATCAGGTAATTAAGCCCTTGATTTCAGGATTGCAAGGAAAGATTCAATGCATGGCAGCATGTATTAAAGTACATTATTAACTACAATGTTTTATAATATCTACTATGTAGAAAATAAAATATTAGTGCATATATAAGCACCTTAATATGTAGGTTTAGGATATAGATTGGGTGTGACTAAACCTTTGGAAAGACCTATATTGGTGTGAAAATTTGAGTATGGATTTTGAAAAGACTACTCACTAACTAAAGCCATGGAAATCTTGAAGGTTTTTAGAACAGAATAAAGCAGTTTCTTTTTCCTTTTGTATTTTTTAGTATTTTTTTGAATTCTTGTCTTTTTTCATGTAAGCAGACAGTGAAACAAACATGCCAGTCCACAATAACAGTATTTGAGTTGGATCTCATCTTGGTTTGTGTCTTGACTTTTGGAGCAAAATTTTTCCATCAGTCTTCTGAAGTTGATGCAGTCCCAAGGTTAATAACTGAAAACCATTAACAATAATAGTTGTATGAGTGAAAGAAAAAAATCATTTGTGATCACAGCATGCTCCTACATAGATTGACAATCCAAAGATGAAAAGAGATATTCAGATGCAAAAGAAACGTGTAGTACCTTGGGTCTGTTACAAAATCAATTTAGTAATCAGGTAATTGAGCCAAAAGAAAGGTATAGGGAAGGAATAAACTTTTTAAAAACTTGGCTTTCCTGTCTAAGTAGTGAAAGGACTTGGGGATATGCCCTTTCTGCGAGATAAATTTAGTTTGGCTGCAGGTAGATCTGTGGCTTCCTAAAATTACATAGTTCTCTTCCACTAACTTGCAAAAGAGCTCTCTCTATTTTTGGTTTTAGAGAAAAGCAGGACTAGTTAGAACCAACCTGACAAATGCTTTAAAATGTAGGTGCACAAAGTAGAGCAACTTTCAGAGAAAAGTTGCTGGGCAGTTTAAAGTAGCTGCATCATTAAAACGTCAGATTTTTCTATGCTGTGAGACAGAATTTGAAAGAGATATCAAAGCCAGCAGGATAAATCACTGGTTCCACGGGTTCTCTCATGCAATTACTAGAAGGACAAGATGTGAAAGTGGAGGAAGATGTGAAGGAATAAATATAGATGACATTGCAGAAGGTAATAGCAGCTACAACTGGGGGCAGAAGCAGACATTAATGATCTAGAATATTTTGAAGAAATTGTTGCTTGCTACAGGTATGTTCTTTAAGTGATTTAACTAAGCAAAATTTTAGCAAGCATTATGACAAACTGAGCTACAGCCATGTTCACAATTCTTTGTATAAGCTGTGGTATGTTTCTTGTAGTGCTCTGTAACTCTGTGTCACGGTCTGAAAAAGCAACACAAGAAGCAACTCCAGGATATTTCTTGCTGTCCTCGGGTGAACTGCAGGGCCTACAGGGAGCCTGAGCCTAGAAAGTTCAGGTGAGTCACTGAAAAGGAGATTGCTATCACTTGCAAAATCTGCAGGAGGAAACCTCTTAAATTCAGAAAGCTGCAAGAAAGTGGGACCTGGATGTACCTTTATTTCCTTTCATACATCCCCCCATTTCCCCTCTCCTGCCACTGCTCTGGACAACCCAGAGTTCTAAGAGCTCTAAAATGAAAAGTTGTCTGTCCCACAAAGACCTCTGTAGTGCATGCTGTTGACTATGATTTAAGTGGTAGAATTGAATTGAATTTCCTCTGCAAACACAAGCTCTTGCTCTAAGTCAGATACAGGAATAAGTGCACTCCTGTCCCAGCTCCTGTCCATGTGAGGCTCCAAAATAAACTATACACAACCAGAGTGAGGTTTGCTGGTGTTTAGAAAGAAATAGTTATCCAAGTTATCTTTTTATAATCCTTATTGAAGGCTACTGTAATAAAGAGAAGAAAAAGAGTTTCTTAGGTTGAAAAACAAGGTTGAAATTATCTTATCTGATAAATATTTCATGAAACTACACCCAGAATCATGTATCCATGAGATAAAGAACTGGCATCAATAGCATGTTGGGCACATCTATGCCCTATTTGAACCATACAAACACCCCGAAGCTGAAGTTCCATAGGAAATTTTACAGAGGGAAGGATTTGGCTGGAAGCCTGAATTTAGGTTGAATGCTACAAGTTCCTTTCAATATAGCGAGCATTTTAATTTATGGAGTCCACCTGCACAATAAAGGAAAAGCACTATGTAATAAATTGAGTCTAAGTTCCCCTTTCACAGGGTTTAAATCCAACATGACAGCACCTTTTCTTCTGTTTCCTTTATGGTCAAAAGAAAAAACAAAGATTAATCTATTTAAAAGAGACAATGTAATAAATTCTGTTGGTAGATTTTGGTTCCTTTTTTTCTTAATCTGTAAATTAATTTATGGTTGAATGATTGCTTCACGTGTAGCAGGTAGGTAAATAGTTGACTCCAGAATAAAATCCTCACTAAAATATTCCATGAATGCGAAATATCAATGGCAATTAAAAAAAACAAACGACTGTTTTTAATCAATTGAAGGATGTTATCATAAAATATGAAGAATGTGTTTTTTCCCCACCTGTTGATCTTTTGTTGTATCATCTACCATCAGTTGATGAATATGTTGAGGATTTAGTGGGATTTAGCTTCATAGCAGAGTTAAGATTTGGCTTTATAGTAGAGTTAAGATTGTGTTAAAATTTTAGATTTTCTTCTCTATGTGACAAAATTGCCTTAATGGACTTTTATGTCTTCAAGCAGCAGAGAGAGTAAGAGCTCACTTCCCTTATAATGACAGTATAAAAGATTGATGAAATGGCTGCTTTTGATCTCAGACTTGATCAGAGTAACTGATGTTATGCCATTGCTTCATTTGCAGATTTTTCCAAGCTAAAATGCTTGCCATAAGCCCACTATGCCTTGACCCTGTAAAATCCATACCCAGAGCAGCCTTTTCCATCTGAATCATGCCTCTGGTCACATCTGGTCACATCTGGTGCTTTGCTTGTCTTAAAAAACAACCTCATCTCCATCTGATAGCATTCCAACATGGAACTCAAAAGCACCTGAAAATCATGATGGATTTGGCTGTGTGATGGGACAACAAAAAAGTGGATGGTCCACAGCGTTCAGCCACTTTATGGCAGGTTGAGGCAAAGTAATTCAGAGGAAATGAAAGATATCTGCATGCTACAGAGCTTAGGAAAGCTTTGACCATGAGATAGAGATGAAAGAGTTAATAGAGAATGCAGAGCAGACCCATGTAATTCAGCCCTAGCAGCCAGACAGCAGATGAGAGTTGACCGTGGTGGGACAAACGTGATCCCAGAGTGCTGCACATCAGCCCCAGAGGCCTCCAAGGGGACACTGAACTCACCTCGCAGCAGGAAGGAAAGGTTGCTGCCCAAACCCTGCTAATTCTAGATCTCAGGTAGCTCTTGCTCTCTTGCCAAACTCGCTGTTAGACCTTATCAAATGTTTCTGCCCAGCTAAATCCAAAGACTGCTGCATTTGGTGAAATGGCACATTTTCCTTGCTTGCAGAGACAGCAAAATGGAAAATGACTAAAAATAATTTTGGATTGTTTTACAGAAAGGCATGATTACAAAGAGATGTAACAGTAACTCTCCTTTTTGCCTAAAACTGTTGTCCTTGTTGAAGACTGTGCCCACCAATTATCTCTTAAATGCGGCTTGCTGGGCAGATTTTGAATTTTCTGTGTTACTTTGGCTGATGCTGACTGGCTGTCCTTTGCTTTTAGCAATTCTTGATGTTTAACTTGTCTCTTTAGGAAAGCCTCATTTCCCTAATAAATATTCATCCTCAACTGAGACACCTTCACACATCTTTACTCAGTTGTATGTTTTGGTGTTTTTTTAATTTCCTTTCCTATCAGTCTTGGTACTGTAGCTGGGGAGTTTAGTGTGAGTAAACTTATTATTTCCCTAGGCACTTTAATTTTATTGATTTTTTAGAAGAGATTAAGTAAATATATGATTCTTCCATTCTTCCACTGGTGCTTAACTTTAGGCTGATGAATAATCCTCTTTGTCAATATAGGTAAAATATAGATTAAATGTTGTCCATATCATGTTTACTTGAAATGGTTGTCAATGTGGCAGGTCAGTGAAAAGTGTGGACTAAAAGGTCCAGAAGTTTATTCCTTGAACGTATACTTATTCTGTATCTGCAAAATAAAATTTAATTGTGTAAGTTTCAGTATCTTAATAGGGTGTACTGGGAGATGAAAATGGCAGTATATATTTTTTTAATACTGAAAACTGCTATCTGTATAATTTATCTATATAGCTTTTGAATAATCTTTGGTATTATGAAAATTGCTGTCTGTATATCTGACTCTAACAGTTCATAAAAGACTGTCAGATTAGCTTTTATCATGTCAGACCCAAGATAATTTGCACCATTAAAATGCATTCATGCCCCACTCTTATTTAACCTCAGGACAGTTGATTACTTGACTGAACTGAGAGAAGAGGAGAGGAAAAATATATTTTTTTCCCCCCAAAGAGAGGAAAAGCAGAGTAGGCAGGGCAAACAAGACATGTTTCCTTGAATCACATACAAAAAATACACAGAAATTATGAAACAGGTGATAGGAAGTTACAACATTCTGCAGGAGAAGGTATTCTTAAGGATTTGATCTTGCAGGAAAAATTAATTAGTTACTCATAAACCCTGTGTGATGAGTTGATCTGTACCTTCATTTCTTGCTACATGAGGACAAATCAAAGTTCCTTGCAGCACCGTATCCATCCTGCCAAAATGCCCATCATTGCTTCACACAGCATTCACCAAGAGGGTGTCCAAGAGTTGTGGTGAGCTGGGGACAGTGCTTCCTCTGATCTCTGTCCTTACAGTAAAGATAAGAGCTGCAAGAAATTGTGTTAGTCAGCTCTGTCAGTGGCTCTGAGCAAACAGGTGATCATTCTGTCAGCTCTGAGCAGCAGCTTTGTTGATCTCCCATTTTCTAGCCTTTTGTGCTCTTGGAAAAGAGAGATCTGAAATGTTCTTTGGTTAGGTCACAACTATGGCAGAGGTTTTTTTCTCCCTCAGTTTTTTTTTACACAATTTCAGTTAAGGGTACAGAACTTCCTGTAAAGCACTGAAGAGCTGTGATCAGGGAAACAAAGGGAGCGGGGTGGGTGTAGAAAATGTGTACATTGTAGAATATATGATATAAATCAAGGCAAGTGTGTTATTTCCTTCCTCAGTGATGTCACATTACTTGCAAATGTGCAGTGAGATTAGACTAGAATAGACTGTTTCAGTTGGAAAAGACTTAAAACAATCATCCAACTCTTTGATCAATCCAGAGCTGACTAAATAAAAACAATGTTAATTTGAATTATCCAAATGCCTCTCAAACTGTGACAGGCTTGAGGCTTTGAACATATCTCTAGGAACCTGTGCCAGTGTAAAGAAATAAAATTATATTCATATAATATCTAAATTGTTTGAAGAAAATGAAAAGAATAAAAGGAAAAAATCTGTGATACTCTGAACATGACTAATTTGTGCCTAGTGAATGGAGCAGTGGGAAGGGATTCAGGTGGCCCAAATAATAATTTGAGATTTTTGCATTATCTACCTTGTAAAGCCAAAAATGTCTCTACTTTGTATCTCTCTGTTACTGTCCCAACAATTTATCTTCTCTAGTTAAAGATACCTTTGTCAAAGGGAGTGGTTTTATGTAGTGCAGTTAGGAGAAATAATTATACTAATGTCTCTAGCTATTAATATAAACTAAATAACCTTTTGTGGACTTTTTTAGCCTTTAAATCCTAATGTAAGACTCCTTAAAGTAGATATGGAAGTCTGGAGTGTCTGTATCTTGTGGAGATTTTAGGCAACACTTAAACAGCAGCATAGTTTTTAATTGTAACATAATTTGCTGCAGGGTAAGTCCCTTGTTGCACAGTGAGTTCTGCTGTGCAGAGCATTCTTTCTATCAAGTTATAAGTTTGATATATATAAGTTTCTGTATAAATAAACTTATCTGTAAGTTTCTGCATATCCACATCTAATGGGGCATCCTAAGGAACCAGTGGCAGCATGAAGATACTTTTGCAGTAGCTTATCTAAAAAGCAAAGATTCCAACTGCTTTGAAATATGGAAGGAAAATGATTTTATCCCTTTTGCTTATGCTCCTCTGCCAGCTGCCCCAGGTTCCACTGAAAAGCAGCACTGGGATGTGGTGTTTTACACAGCACAGCAGGGTGCACCCTGCTTCCCATGCCAAATCCATCCTGCACCAGACAAGAGTTTTAAAAGATATACCCTTGAGGGAGTGTTAAATGAGTGCAGCTGAAGGGTCAGGTCCAGGAAGGAGCCTTATTCTGGAGATACAGGATAGGCTTGAATAGCTGCTGACATTAGGACAAGTGAGGCATAGCCTGGTTTTGTACAGAATGCACATGCAATGAAAAGGTGTAAGGGATGGTGTCCATCACCAGCAGTGCTCAACAAATTGCCTATTTCTTCAGCTACAAATATTCTCTGACTTTGAAAAGGCTTCCAGAAGCCTGGGAATGAAAAAGAAATAAAAATAATTGAAAAGTTCTGTTTGTCTCAAGGATTTCCAACAAGATCTTTCAGTGTAACTTTGCAAGGAGAGGACCACAAAATGCACCTAAGTCTAGTGGCTGGCTGTGCAGAGAATCCCAGATATTTGCTCTGTGTAACACTTTACCTGGTTTTTAAGATTTGGCACACACTGAACTTGGTAGATACATGTTCATTGCTGCTATTCTGCCTTTTCTTAATTTGACAAGTAAATTTATGTGAGTGAGCATTCTTGTGCCTGACTTTACATTCCGTGAGAGCAAAGTTGTGTGTTCTCATATGAAATTGAATGAAGGAGCTAATAGCTGAGAGAAATATCAGAGGGGAAAAGCTTGGGAAATTTTGGTGAGGATCAATTAGAAGTTTGCAGTTGCTGGAATAAAACCTTCCATGTGTCTGTCTGTGATGAAGAAAACCACTTCATAGGCATGTAAAGTAGGCAGTCAATTAGCACTCAATTAAGGTGGTATTAAAGCACTGATGTACATGTAGTAAATAAGATGGAGGAGGTTCTTAGGCTTTTGCAGTGTAATAGGGGCAACATTTTCCTTTTTATAATGTAGTGTTCTCCTCTCACACTAGGGATAGCCATATTCTAAATTTGAAAATAATCTAGTTACACTTTGATTAGAAAATCATCATAATACCTTAAGGACAATTATTTCTAATTTGCCCAGCATTTGTCTAAATTATAATAAGACTAAATTATGTCACCCCTGTTTATTTTATTCAAATGAAATATTGCACTTTTCCAAATTTATCACACCTGTTATCTTGCTAAACACTGTCCTTAATTGCTATCAGAAGTTCAATTGCTATGAGAATTTTGAGTAATTTAAAAAAATTAAATATCTTTCTGTAACTAAGACAAAGTGATTGCCTTCATCCATCTTATCAGCAATGAATCTTACCCCACAGAATAAATATGTATGTATATATAAATATATAAATTTTTTTTGAGATGGGAAAATGAGTTGTGTGCAGTTATTGTATCCAAATAGAGATAGCCATTCTCTAACTCATTCATTAATAGACATATTACTAATTAAAATAGTGAGATATTCATTCCAAAACAATATTAACTGCTAAAAGACTGTACTCCTGTCTATACTAATGATATAAGCCAGTATTTCATACAGAATAGTCAGGAAATAAGTATGAACTTCAAAATTTCCAGACTATTGAAATCGTACTCTCTGGTAAATTTATTGAGTGTAAACAAAGAGAACTACAGTAGAACTGAATCCTGTGAATTTCATGGCCAAAAAATGAATAATTTTCTTCAAGACAAACATCTACTGCCAATTTTTGACTCAGTTCTTTAGGGTGCTAAAGATACTGGTCTCCCTCTGCTGATCTGGATCCAACTTTGCTTGGAAACAAAGAATAAGGAAGTAAATATGGTTCATGAAGGAAGACCAAGAAACCAAATTAATTGCACCAAACATTTTCGTTAGGTATTTGGAAAAATTTGGTATTCATATGCGTGTAGAACAGACCATTAGGGGTTTTGTAAAAATTATGGACATTTCAATTTATGTTTCCCTAGATAATGAACATTTTTTTCTGAATAGCATAGAATTTCCTTGCATTGTAATATAGATAACACATTTGCTGTTATTAGTTTCTCTAGGACCTGCAGTTACCTCTCTAATTCAGTTACTTCTTTATACCCTTTGTATTTCAGCTTATAAACAGAGGATATTATTTCATAAACTAAGCTGCTATTGTTCCTGGCAGATCCACTCCCTGATATGTTCGAACAGGCGTGGATCAGTCAACAGAAATTTCACCAGAATGAGAATGCGCCTGGCCTGGTGCGGCAATTCCATCTGACCCGTGAACAGGCCCGGGCCACAGTGGCAACATGCCCTCAGTGCCAAAGTCATCAGATGCCCGTGCTCAGCGCAGGGGCCAACCCCAGAGGACTCCAGAGCGAGGTGTGGCAGATGGATGTCACCAAGGTACCTAAATTCGGCAGACTCAAAGACGTCCATGTATCGGTGGACACCTCCTCTGGCACAGTCTACGCCTCAGTCCATGCAGGGGAGAGAGCTATGGATGCAAAGAATCACCTCATCCATGCTTTCTCTGTGCTGGGGGTTCCTAAGGTCATCAAAATGGACAATGCCCCAGCACACAGCTTCAGGGAGCTCAGGAGCTTCCTGCAGCAATGGGGAGTGGAGCACAAAACCGGCATTCCCCATTCCCTGACAGGCCAAGCTGTGGTTGAGAGGAACCACCAGAGTCTCAGGAAGATTCTGTTACACCAATGTGGGACTATGAAGGTGGAATCCCCTGATGTCCAGCTGGCCCAGGCATTATTCACACTCAACTTCCTGAACTGCGCTTTTGAGAACCTGAACCCTCCAATTGTGAGGCATTTCCGAGGAAATCCGCAACTGGAGCTAAAGGAGAGGCCCCCAGTCCTTGTCAAGGACCCCAAGACATGGCAGATACAAGGACCATTTGACTTGGTCACCTGGGGGCAGGGGTATGCCTGTGTGGCTACACTCTCAGGGTTAAAACGGGTCCCTTTGAAGTGGGTGTGCCCCTGTATTCCTAAAACAACTCATGTTAAGTCCATCCGGCAGGTGCAGGACCAATTCTATTTAAGTTATACATATTAATCCTTTTTCTATGTTTACTTGCAGCCTAAGCCTGAGACCCCTGCATAACATCATGTATCCTGCACTCACCATCCACAGTGTGAGCCAGGCAGTGTTCCTCTCGGCTCAAGAGTCCACCGGAGATGAAGATCATCCAGAACCGGAGCCTCAGGAAGGACCCTGGAGAGAAACAGCTCCTACCTGCCAACCCTGGTTCGTGGACACCTACCCAAACTCAGAATTCCTTCCCCAGACTGAGTTTAACTCATTTTGAGAGACTATTTTCATTTCATTTTATTTAAAATAAAAAAAGGGGAGTCGTTGGGCTGTGTTTTTAGGTTCTCCCCTTTAAGGTGGTTGTTTCCTGTTCCCCTTTTATGTAAAATGGGCCTGCCCTCCTCCTCCTCCACCTGTCAATCCTCCCTCCCTCCACCCACCTGGCATTAAATCCTGCTGAGTCATTCCCCTGACCCCACCCTGGGGCCTGTCTGTCACTCTGAGGCCTCTCCTCTCCACCTAGAAAGTTCCATGAAGGGCCTCGAGTGATAGGCTGGTCCCCGGGGTCCACTCCTCCCTCTCATCCCCATTGGGTGTTTCCCCTGCATGTCACCCCAGTTGTTACACCCTATTGTTACCCCATTGGTCTGTTGTTAATCCCACCATTTGTTACCACCCCCCAATATAACCCCTTGCACACTGGTGCTTGGGGGCTTTTTGGTGGTGTCCTTTCCTGAGTTGAGGTGAGTCTTCGGAGCTCCCTGATAAACTTGGCTTGCGGATTCCCCCCAAGAGGACGACTCCTTTACTTCCTTTACTTCCCTACTGCCTGTGGATGGGTAAGGTGGCCCCGCTGCCTGCAGAGTTGATCTGTGCAGGGCTAGCTGGTGAGAGGGATAGGCGCTGCAACAAAGCTTTGTACAATATATTTGCTGAGTTTTAGCTTCTGTAAGGAAAATTTTATAAAAACAGTGGCAATCCTACCACTACCTACTCTCCAAGCCAGATTCCCTCTGTAGAGAAAACACTCATTTGACATAATCCTCTTGCATAGGAAGAATGGTGACTAAGATGCTGGAGATGAAGAATATTTAAGCTTTCCTTCTTTTTTGCCTTACAACCCAGATAAGGAGTCAGTTTGCAGGAATTTGAGTAAATTCACAACACTTTCAAGAGATATCTTTGGCAGACTCCCCAGACATGCAGTCATCAGCACCAGCTGAATGTTACCAGAGTTAGCATTACTCCAGCAGAATATTCTGTGCTTTCCAAGTTGCTGGAGCAAATGGGAACATTCACAGAGATTTCAGTGGGACCTGGATCATGTCCTTGCCCATCATTGTGCATAGGCCTGATCTTTTCTGACTGCTGCTGAAAACTCTCTCTTGTAAAAGAACCCCCACAAGGATGTGATGTCACTTGGGCTCATGAATCATGTGTTTAGCTGTTATCACTCTTCTCAGTGTGAAGAAGGCTGGTAATTATGTAGCTGAGTGCATAGTTAAAAGATTTTTAAAGCAATATTTAATCCGAGTCTCTTGAAGTAAATGGGTAATGCAATGAAATGGGACTGTAGGGCTTGATAGAAAGTTCTTTGCATATCTTTCGAAAGAAATTCAGCTACTGATCCTGGCACAGCAGCAACTCTGAGCTTTCTAGGTGTTTAGTTTCAGCTTTGATAATATGTTTGAAAAGGGGAGAGATTTTCTAATGGTCACCCAAATTTTGTCAAGAGACTTTCAGTCATTTCCATCTCTGTGAGATCAAGGTGTGTTTATGCAAAGTGCTTATAATGTCAGGCTAAAAATACTGACACAGAAACAAAACAGAAAACCACTCCAGAGAGTGACTGAATAAGAAAAATTGAATTGCTTTTCATAGGTATTTGTTTCTCTCCCCTGATTAAACAAGGACTGAAGGAAAACTGTACTTTATTTTAGGCATTGTAGAGGATGCAAAAAAATTAAGTAGAATTAAAGTGTGTGTAGTTCTTTTGGACTGAAATAGTGGAGCAACTCATCACGACCTTGTGCCTCAGGCATCACAGGACACCCACAGAGGAAATTTGCCTGAAAGCCTTAATTGAAGTCCAAGCTTCTTAAAAACTATCCACCATCCTTCTCACCGAAAGTTTATTATAGTGATTTGTTTGTTGCTGCTCTTTTGCATGCATTCCACTGGGAACAGAACTAGCTGGGAAAGTTCTAAATTATTTTGACTTTTTTCCCCTCACTGAGTATTACTTTCAAGTACTGAACTTTGCAAAGTATTGGCTATGCTTCTGTCAGGCCAATCCATGCCTTAAAAAACGCCAGAAGACAAAACAACAAAATATACTAAAAATACCTATTTAAAAAAATTTGCAACCTGAATTGTAGTAAAGTTTAAGAATATATCCTATTTTTTATGTTAAATGCGCAGGTTTTGCCTTTGTGAGCTTTGATATTTCAGTCATTCATGATTCCTATGGTTCACCACTTTTTAAAATTTTCTGAACATTTCTAGAGAATTCAAGGGACTAATCCAAAGAAACCATCATTCTCTTGACTACTTTTTTTTGTATTCTAGTTCTCTTTCTTTTCTGTAATCTGCACCTTCACGATTTTCTGGGACAAGGTCTATTTGTGTTGGAAGTGTTATTAAGTTACATTTTATGTCCTAACATTTTCCTGCATTTTAGATCGAGTTCATTGCTGGGACTGTAAGTGTGGTTCATGAGATCCCCCAGCCAACCATTAAGCAAGACATTATAAAGTTAGTGTTTTCCATCTTTGTTTCGGTAAGTTAAAATCAATAAGAGTGATGTGTTTACTCTGGTGGAATGGAAATGTTCACATAAATCCTTAAGGCACTGATGTATATCTGTGGAAATGTCAAAGGTTCAGTGCATCTTTCATTGCACAGGGTAGGTTTCTACAGAGCCTGGATAGATGACCTAAATAAAGATGTCTGGAGTTAGATTTGCTTTTGGTCAAGGCTTCAGGAGACACTGACCTGTGTTATAAGTTGCAAGATCAGGAAAATTTTACCTCTTCTGAGGAGTTGCAATGTAAACATTATTTTATATCAGGAGAGGGAATAGTAAAGGATGACACTTTTTATTTCCGTAGCACACCATAATGAGCATTGAAAGAGAGCTTTTATTTAAAGCAAATTTTTATCTACAAATTTCTACATCAAAACTCATCAGTTCTGGCTAAATTAGTAGCATAGTTACCATAAGGGTTTCCTCTCAGTCTTTGATAAACAATGTGTCTCCTAAAATTGTAGAACAGTTTTATAAACCTTTTGGAAATACAGAAGGTACCTATGAACAGAAATGGAAAGCAAACAGAATGCCACAAACAAACAAGTAAGCAAAAGCCTGGCAATTTTTGGGTCACTCACTACAAGACATGGAGTGTGTTCAGAGAAGGTCTGGAGGACAGCTCTGATGAGGAGCAGCTGAGGGAACTCAGATTCTTCAGCCTGGAGAAAAGAAGGCTTAGGGGGGATCTTCTTGCTCTCTAGAGCTGCCTGAAATGAGGTTGTACCCAAGTGGGGGTCACTTGGTAAGTTTCTCCCTAGGAAAAACTGTAGGACAAGAGGAAGGGGCTTCAAGTAGTGCCTGGGGAGGTTTAGATTTGATATCAGGAAAACATCTTCACTGGAGAGTGGTCAAGCAGTGGAACAGGCTGCCCAGGGCAGTGGTGGAATCCCTATCCCCAGAGGTATTTAAAAGATGTGTGGATGTGTCGCTTCATGACATGGTTTGGTGGTGAACTTGACAGTGCTGGGTTAGTGGTTGGACTTGATCTTAGAGGTCTTTGCATATTTAACTGTTTCTATAATTCCATTTGGGATGAGAGAAACAAAATTCACTCTTTTTTACACCTTTTCCCGCTTTTCTTGTACTAATCTATTAGTGCTTTTCCTGAACTGTAAATATTGATGACACCTCTGTCCTGTTTTGATTCTCTGGGTCCAATGTAGATCAAAGGATGCTGCACCATCCTCATTACAGGGTCATTAAGTCAAAGCTCATTGTTGTACTGAATACTTTCAGAGTTTGTTTTTTTTTGAGGATGAAGGAGGAATTTTCTAGGGTGTAACATGTCTGAAACATTTACTTTTTCTAAATTTGATCTAAATTGGTGGATGGAATTGAAAGTCATTATGGGTGTTGCCAGACCAAGGGGGAGAAGGTGGTAAGCAGAAGCAGTCAGATGCACTGAGAATGGTTGTATAGATATTTCCTTCTTTGAGGAGGATTGTCTGAAAGCTAACTTGGAGTTACAGGCAAAATTCAGAAGCAGCAGGACTAATCTCAAATGTCTGTAATAGAGTCAGTGAAGGAAGCCCACAAATATGTTTGGTTCCTTTTTAATACCATTTTCCTAAAATTAGTGGGTAAGCTAGTCAGAGGAGGATTTGCCTTCACAGGATTTGCTTACTGTGGCCCAAATTCAGTGTTTTACAAATGAAAGGAAGTGCACATATTCTCATGCAGTATTGTAATATCTTTGTTCAGAAAAATAATGTCTTAATTTCTCATGGAATACCTCTTCTGGGATACTGTGTTGCAGGGCAGATCACTAAAGACCTACATGTTAGTTGATTTTTATGCACAGTATTTAGAACACTCATCAACCTTTAGTTTGAGAAAAGAGGGAATAAAATTCTTGAGGGGAATTCTTTTTTTTCAGTTTTCAATTCCTGTGTGTTAGAATTACAATAAGTCATTGCATATTACCTTGAAAGAGCTATATCAGTGTAAGCATGTTGCTCATCAAAAGCAAAAATTGAAGATAATACATTTTTGGTCCACAAAGTTCAGATCTTCCTTCTATCCTGAAAGTTCTAAATTTGTTGTATAGCATGTATATTTTGCAATTGTCACCTCAAAAATGCAATACTGGATTCCAGTCATTCATTTAATCAATATTAAGACTGGTTCAAATATTTTCCTTACATTTTGGTTGCAGAAAAACACTGGGCTGTGTTGGTTCTCAGAACAGGAGAACTGTGATGGAGGGCGAGACTGAGTTTGCTTTAATTAGTAGACATTTTGCAGTTAGTAAGAAATTGCAGCAAAATCAATCTACATGGTAATCTAAATCATATTTCAGAGCAATATCTCATTAGTTGTATTGCTCTCCAAAGGAATTTTTTTACTAAAGCAAAGTAGTGCACTTTTGTTGGCACTCTTTAATTTGTATGAGATTTTCATAATTTTTCTATATTATGAAAAATGAAAATATAGTAATTGTGTTAGGTCAATTTAAATAGTATCTACCTACATTGAAAGGTCAGATGACAAGGCAATTGCAGAATAATATAGGAAATTAGGAGGGGAGGGTATCTTAACTGTGTCATTTGATAAAATAATCACAGAGATAAATTGCTTTGTTATTTAATAGTGAACATCAGATTCTTAAAGGTCACTTAGATGCACAAGCAGTGATTTAAGTTTTGTTTAAGACTTGTGCTATTTTTCATTCCATCTGTATCCATGTGAGTATTGACCATGGAGATTTCTGAGTTAAATGTGGCCTCTCTTGTCACTGCTCGCACACAGCCCTTGCAGGGACCTGGCTTTAAAACCAGGCAAGGG